TTAACTTTTTAATTTTTTTTCAGTGGCCCTAATCCATTTCCATACTAAACCTGTTTAGAAACCCTTTGCAGAAAAAGATAAATTGTGTTAAAATCAACATTTCTTTAAAACGATGTTATCATTTATGAAGAGAAACATGTTCAAACATTAACAAAAAGGTAGTAATCCACCTTGTTAAATTTGAAATAATCAACCTTGTTTTTAGAGGATGGGTTTGGTTTTACAAGCTACACCCTGTCCTCAATATCACCTGAGCTGTAATATAAAAAAAACATAAAAGAAAGAACCTGAATCATTACGTTTCAATAAAACCTTGTCTGACATCACGAGATAAGACTAAAATATTTTAAAGAATAAGAAACAAACTGACATCTATCAGGTGGAAAAACAAACATTTACAGAGATGTTTAAAGGCTTGTTGATCCTGTTGCCAACATTCAGAGCCATTATCCAGAAGCGGAGAAAAGATGGAGCGGTGGTGACTTTCTCAGGCCTTTTCCAGGGAAATATTACTCCTGGCATATTAACAGCTCACCCCAAATGAAAACCTTTAGGACTGCATCTAAAAACCGCAAGTCCTGCTTGCCTAGGCTAAGTTAATTTTTCTTGATTAAGTTATAAAAAACAGAAGAAAATAGCAGCAGTGGGAGATTTCCACACCAAAACAACAATGCATAAAAAAAAGAACATAAAGGTTTGTCTCATTTCTAAGATAACCAAGAAATTTTCCATGGAGATTACATCTGGTGTGAAATAATATTTAAGAAAAAAAGAGTCTTTCTTGTGAAACACGGAGGTGGTTGTGTAATGCTCTGGGGGTATTTGCTGCTTCAGGAGCTGAATGCTAATGTCAAGCTAACATTCTGTGAACATAAGCTTAAGTCCATTTTGGTTATGCAGTAGAACAAAGCAGACCAACAGGTCCACCTCTGAATAGACTGAACACAAAGGTTTTAGAGTGACCTAGTTAATGTGTTGTTGTTTTAAACTCTGACCCTAAAGGCATTCCATCCCTACATGTTTCAGATGTTTTGCTGCTTCAGCAAAGCTGATTCCAATTGATGGCCGATTAGCAGGTGCTTGCTGATCTGCAGTCATCTGAATGACGTTTGTTAAAGCAAAAAACTACAGAAACATGGAAGACAGTCTGCCTTGATGGGCCTTTTCAAAAAAACAAAAAGAAAATGATCTAATCTGCTGTATCACATGTTTGCATGAAGGCTAAAAGGCCATTGATGCCCGATGTTTCAAATAAAGTGGATTAAACTTAATGGTGCATGCAATACATTTATTATAGATTTATTTGACCCATACAGGGAAAAATTCTGAGAACCTTCTATTATTGCATAGATAGAGGGTATACCAACACTTACCAACCTTTGGCTTCCGCTTCTTTATCTTGGCCTCTTTAGAAACTTGATTTCATCAGTAAGTTTCAACAGGCTGCTTTCCTTCCAGCTCCTCTGGTCAGTGTATGTTAGGGTCAGGGGTTGACGTTAAGGATTTCGGGCAAGTGACTTTCACATTTCATTTGCCCAGTAACAATTTTTACTTGCCCTGTATAATGTTTGATAAATATAGTTCCTAATATTCATTTTTGTATATATATATCAATAAAACATGTTTGTTTTTTAAATGTTTTTTTTTGTAATTCATTAAGTTTACAGGTTCCTGGTGTTTACATGCATGCGTCAGATAATGAACTCAGGCCTACATTACCGTGTTAACATGTTTTTCAATCCTTCCTGCACATTTTTTTTCAAACTAAACTTTGCTTTAAACTGTTGTGTGGTTGAAAAAATATAAATTGTAATGTTAAAAATCTAAAAAAAAAAACTTGACAGGGTAAAAACTTACACTACTACTACTCACCAATTTAACATGTTTAGTTCTACAACATTTAAATGCACCACTCCAATGTTTAAGAGAAAAAAAATGTTTTAATGTATGACCACTGCACAGAAGACTGCCATATGATAGAAATATTTACACTGTGCGCATACAATTATTATTATTATTATTATTTTCCTAATCCCTGACTGATCATTTTTAATCTAGCGTGTTTTATAGTATAGATTAAATTCATCATCCAGCTGCTGCTCTGCAGAATTCTCTCCGCAAGGAGAGAAAAATCAAGCCATCTAGCGGAAAACCGCGTAGCTTTTTCAGATCACGCGAGAATGTGTACAAAACAACAAAAATGGCGCCGGCAACGCTTGTGGGTCGTTTTCAGCGAATGTCGGTGATTTTAAAGTAATTTTGAGTGATAAATATTTTGTTTTTGCGATCATTGCATTTAATTTGTACTCTCCCGACAATAAAAACTACCTGCCCTGGGAGATCGGGCAATGGTTAACATCGAGCCCTGAGGGTATATTATTCTTTAAAGAAAGCCGTCTTTGCTTGAACTGCACCAATACCAAACGTACATCTCAGTGTATTTTTGAGTTTAGCATGAGTTTTGCATAATTGTAAGAGAATGTCCCTATCATCAGCGTGAGCAAAGTCCAGAATATTAAACCAAATACGAACTACTCGGCTCTGCTACTGAAAGTCTCCCCTGCGCTTCTTCTCCCTAGCCTGACGTAGTCCGACTAAATTCTAGTCAGAATATGAGTCTGATACTGCTCCATAGAGCTGTGATTATGGGGCGTGTTTCGAACGAACCAGGAAAAAAAATGCCTCTGCACTCAATTGGATAGACCTACAACCAATAAGAGCAACGGAGTGCGTGACGTATGTTAAGCAACGCATAGTTGTTGTCAACAAAAATCAAAGCGTGCAGTTGCACGCCTAGAATAAGAAGATCGCGTTTCTCTGTTCCTCTTTTAAAATTAATTTGCTGTCGATATCTTCTAGAACAGACCTAATAGCAGAATCTACACACCTTAAAATCTCTAGCGGCAGCCATTGTTGTTGTCACCCAAGCGCGCTTTGGTCACGTGGTTGATTACGTTACTGTAGATCATCTGTCCATCATCGTATAAAGCCCGCCCTGACAATTTGATTGGTCCGCCAGATATTGTGCGAGCATACTCGCGCTACTATTGAGCAATGCCAGACCGAACTTCACGACCTCAAACGTTGTGGGCGGGACTAAGTTCGGAATGGCACCCTGGCTATCTTCTCCCTACCTCATAGACGCATTCAGTCCCTGATTAGTTGAACTAGAATTAACAGAAAGGTTCAGATTTTTCAACTCCTGAGACATTTGCCTTGCATGCACCAATGTTTTTGCTTCGCCCTAATCGCGCCCTTCTCATTACTAGCCATGTGACCCTTCGCATGCTTCGGATCA